CATTCGATTGCCCTAAGATAAAAGGTCATCATATGATTATTAAAAGTGTCACTTGCATAATACAGGGGGGAGCGCGGTAATTTGCTTATTTGCACTGCATGCTGTGGCGGCACTGACAGTCGAAGACAGAGGAGAGTGGGCTTGGCTTACAGTGGATGGCGGGAAATTTGTATTCGTCTGGCTCTCAGTTGCCATCATGCAGTGGACATGTTAGGAGAGGTCATTTTGTGTAGGAGCGTATTTTTCAAATGCCCACTCTATCATTGCAGTGCAGCGTGCTTTTCGTTCACGATTCGCTGTTCCTTCACGCGGACGTGTTCCTGGACGGCAATCAATTGTAAATTGGGTGAATGCATTCAGAACAGCAGGGAATGTGTCATGTCTACGAATGTCGGAAAGTTTACAAACTTTCGTGCATATGTCTTCATTTTTATAGGTTCATCCCTTTCTGTAAACCATTGAGAACGATTTAATCTTCACCCTTTATTAAATTAATGTCATTATTGTCAATTCTAATAATTTTATTCAAAGCAGTCATTTAGCGGCCGGGCTGGTTGCGACTTTTCTCAATGCTTCCGAGGCTTTCCCTGCAGCAAAGCAGAAGTCTTGCATCTCTGGCCGGCAACAGAAAGATTCACTTCAAACTTCACACATTCAACTCGTCCCTGTGCCGTCTCGCGTGGTCTATGCCCGTCCGTTCTGCGTAGTTCCTACTCCGCGAGATGACAGCACCCAACCTCTAGCCGGTTCTTCAACTGGACAACTCCTCACCTGCACCCAGAAGGCGTGTTCTTCCCAGAAAGAAGCCGTAAGTCGTTAAATTAGCCTGTGCCGCTCTTAATGACTGCTTCTGGAAGAGCCTTTAGCTCGCTCGCTAAGTTCCTCTTAATAAAGTGACATTCATCCAATTTACATTACATTTACATTTCATCGAAATTTATAAAACGTTTCGTATTCGTTCTCAATGATTAACTGAAAGTTGCTAAATAACGTATTCTAATCTAATACTAAAGTGATAACTGATTCTAATACTAAAGTGATAACTGATTCTAATTCTAAAGTGATAATTGATTCTAATTCTAAAGTGATAATTGTAATTCTAAAGTGATAATTGATTCTAATTCTAAAGTGATAATTGATTCTAATTCTAAAGTGATAATTGATTCTAATTCTAAAGTGATAACTGGATTCTGCTTCGAATTCTAAACTATAAGTGATTCTAATTCTAAAGCGATTGACCCTTAATTTCATAGGATGAATGTCGTGACGAGATGTTCATGATAACGGAGGGGGGCACAACTTTCCTCTACCTCTCCAGTGGACGGGCGACTACGACTTTCGTTTCTTTTGAATAAATTCAAAGTTGAATCTAGAGTATGTCGTTTACCTGTCCTCGCCATGAACTTATTTTCGTCAACGAAAGGGACCTGAGAGAAGGATTACAACACCACGAAACATCGAGAGAGTTAGAGCAACAGTACTGCAATCTCCGAAACGCTCTGCTCGGAAGCAATCATTTGCTCTAGGCATTTGTCTATGGTGCAGGATTATTTTCAGCCAGCTCATGAGGCAATGGAATTAGAGGATACATGGTTCCAACAGGATGGTGCCACTGCACACACAGCAAGGGTTACCATGAATTGTTTGAGGCAAATGTTTCCTGGATGGCTTATCTCTTTGAGGGGTGATGGGATCTGGGAGCACGCTCACCAGATTTAGCCCCATGCGATTTTTTTCTTTGGGGTTATCTGAAGTCTAAGGTGTATATCAACCGCCCCAACACCTTGGATGACATAAGGAACAATATTGAAACTGAAATTGGCTGAATACCTGTGGGCATGCTTGTTAGAGTTCATAAAAACTTCAGAAAACGTATACAGTAATGTGTGGAATGCGAAGGTCGACATTTGCCAGATACACTATTTAAAATCATGTAATTTATAAATTCCATTACCGTTCAGTATGATTCAAATATCAAATAAATTTTTTTAGTGATCATAATTTTTTTATTTCATTCCCAAATCAGCAAATTACCGCGCGCCACCCTGTATGATCATCAAGGTATTGCGGACAATGCTACCTCCTCGCGAATAAAGTTTCAAAGATCTTAGTGGGGAGGAAATAACCATATTGTAAAATAAATAAAAAATTGTTTCAGAAGCCGATGACGCTCGTTGGGCACCATTTCACGTAAACTCACTAACAGAATTTATGATAAAAAGTACCATAGAATGCAGGCCCTCCAATAATACCTGGCCTGGGATTAGCGTGTAGACAAAGTAAATAATTCGGACATGAATATTCGTCAAAGAACGAGGCGCTCATAATAATAAAGTTCTCTATTATTAGCATGAATGCATGACAGACAGGCCTGACCTCCACAACTAAAGCTGCGAGTATAACCTCAGCAAATTGCAGGGCTTGTAGGTCCCGGCGCGGCATTACGGTGATCACTTTTTGCGGACTTAACCTGAGGGACAACGGCCGCTCAATGTGATACTCTCGCGTGCGAGGGCCGTGGCGTGCGGTGCACTTGAGGAATTCCTTCCTTTTTTTTGCACGACAATTTCTACAAACATTCCTAAGCCTTAGTGTAATAATTCCTTTGCTGTAGATTTATATTCCACGCGCTTGGTATTACAGAACTTACTTGGGACAAATTTTGACCTCGATATTTTTGTTGAATTCAATGAGTGACATCATTCATTTACTGGCTCAAATTGATTCATGCAAGAGAAATCAAATCTGGCACGACAGAGTTTTTCAATATGAGCTGCTCTCATTATACTATGATACAAGTTTCCAAGGTTAAATTTGAAATCTTATGTATATATTGTAAAGATTGTATCTTAATATGCATTATAACTCTTCAATCACAAATATGAAGGCAGAATCTAGGCCGCAATCGAAGATTGCCTTCTGANATGTAATGCCTCGTGTAATCTCGCATGTTATGTCTGAAAGGCAATATTCTGAGATCAAGTCAATAATACTTTATTATAAAACTTCCTTATTTCAACTTTCGTAATAACTTGATTCTGCGCGCATTGGTACAACTGTATATTAGTTTTGAAAATTCGACTAAGGATTTGGATAATTTTTTAAGAACTATTCCACAAAAATTTAACAATACACAATAAATAAATATACTGATACAATTTGGATGCATGTAAATAAATTTCCCTTTTTAGCGCATTTTCTAATTTATGGAAAATGAAATTATTTTAATCATTGTGCTCGCCATGCCCGTCCGTCCGTCCGTCCGTCTGTCCGTCCGTGACTTCGCGCTTTCGTCGACGAAAAAATGCGCTCTCTGTCACTCACTGCAGTGAGTACTGAGTTATATTTTTTAATATAGCCTTTACGGTACAAGCTAAAATATATATTGCAATATCATATGATTTAACGAATTTTTTATTAGAATTCGAGTAAATTCAATGGTTGGAGTATAATGGTTTATACAAGAAATTTTTTACAAAATTTCTTTATTTTACAAATTTTAAATTCCTAAGCTAATAATTATAGTGAAAAACTAGCCGCTGCTTGACTAATCATGCGTTTAGGTTCGAAACGATGAGCTCGTCGGATTTTCAAGCAGGGATATTGCAGTCATTAACTAACATTTCCTCAGCTAGTAATTGTGAAACTCAACCTCAATTTTCACTTAAAATACATCGCCAATCGAGAAATTTTTTAATCCTAAAAGAGAAATTTTATTTTAATCCTAAAAGCATCGCACTGCGTTTAGAATGTGTTGCCACGCGCGATCGTTCATAATTTTTTTAATATCAAATTGCAAAATAGACGGTCTACTGAACGAACGTAGATGTACGGTGTGCAACCGCATTTTAGCTGCAAAAAAAATCGTCTGAAACGACATTTCAGAGGCCGGCAGAATCCCATAACATTATATCTTGTTCGCCATTAATTTCTGATCGATGGGAAAAGTAAACTTCATCCGCTATTAAACTCGGACACTGGAATTTGGCAGCATATTTTGGCATTGCGTCATCGTTGCTCTCGAACCAGACTAATCTACGGAGATTACTTTACTGTAAGTAAAATTTATTTTATCTATTGTTCAAAGTAGATCGAATTATTTAAAATAGATCTAACTCGGCTAAATAATTACTTGATCAGCGTAAACGCTCACGAAAATTGTCTTTTGTACTTGAATTCTATTTCACCATATCCTTTTAGTCGAAATGATGAAATCGATACCAATATTATAAATCAGCAAAATTATCATATGATTAATTCAACTTCAGAGTCTCTTTAAAATACTAAGAATTCAAAAAATGTTGAAACTTAAGTTTTTCCGCTAGTGATAATATTTCAGGCAGTTTTTTTTCAATTCTACCCTTTCCTACACTGATAATTAAAATTTTAAAACACTCCAGCCTCCAGATTTACGAGCAAAGACCATAAGAAGTTTTCAGGCAACATCTCATAAGGAACATCATGAACGGGAAAAAGTTGTTTCATGTATTTTTCCCGCACTTACAATCAGTTATCTTTCACGCATTTTTTTACAGTGCTCGGTCTTGACAAGTGGTATCCAGTCTACGGCGAAGCAGTATCGATCCACTATCCTGCTCTGTCCGAAAAAAATATTTTCTAAAAATCCAATTCTGAATTAATAAAAAATAACTCAGTACTCACTGCAGCTAGTGAGTGACAGAGAGCGCATTTTCTCGTCGATGGTAACGTGAAGTCACGGACGGACGGACGGACACGACGAGCACAATAGGGCATTTTTTCCATAAAAGAGAAAATGCGCTGAAAAACGTTTTAAATTTCAATAAAACTGTTATATGGCTGTTGATTTTATGTTATTCAAAATATTTATAATATTACGCACATAATTAACGATAAATGTCGACTGGAAATTGAGCGCAGATAAACGATTAACGCATTTATATTCGATCCGGCGCAAGGCAAAAAATTAAGTCGGTCCTTATCATCCAATTTGCTGCACAAACTTTATAATTAACATTTCATCAATCGTTTTTCTCTCGTTTTTTTTCGGAAAATGGAGAACTTTCCTGGGTTCCAATATGAGAAGCTGTGGCATATGTGGCGTCACCAGAAGCAGTGGCATGTGTGGCGTCACCAGCAGCAGTGGCATATGTGGCGTCACCAGCAGCAGTGGCATATGTGGCGTCACCAGCAGCAGTGGCATGTGCAGCGTCACGATAAGTAGTGGCATGTGTGGCGTCACCAGAAGCAGTGGCATATGAGGCGTCACCAGAAGTAGTGGCTTGTGTGGCGCCACCAGAAGCAGTGGCATGTGTGGCGTCACCAGCAGCAGTGGCTTGTGTGGCGTCACAAGCAGCAGTGGCATATGTGGCGTCACCAGAAGCAGTGGCTTGTGTGGCGTCACCAGAAGCAGTGGCTTGTGTGGCGTCACGAGCAGCAGTGGCATATGTGGCGTCACCAGAAGCAGTGGCATGTGTGGCGTCACCAGAAGCAGTGGCTTGTGTGGCGTCACCAGAAGCAGTGGCTTGTGTGGCGTCACAAAAGCGTGACTCAAGTTATGTATGCGGTACATTTACTCATAATCGCCAGTATATGGAACATTGATCATAAATGTTGAAATTAGATTGAAGCAATAGGTGATATAATAGGTAGTAAGATATAAGCACCTTACGTGATCTCCCAAGTCCATTATAAACAACTCATAACATTAAATGGAACCTTAATTAATTAATTAGTCGTGGACCCAGGAATCAAAAAAGTATTTTATTTTTTATGCTTGAGTCAAATTTTAGGGTAAATGCAAAATTAGCAACTTGTGCAACGAATTTGTAAAAAAAACGCAAGTAATTCACCACAATGAACAGTACCATATATTATTTCTTCCGATATAACGACTTCTCGAACCGAGAAGCGCATAAGCACCTAACGAGTGTGAAAACTATAATGTATTTTATTGTTCGCGCAACACCACCTGATGATAGGATTAATGCTGCGAATCAAGCCGTACAAAATCAACTGCGAATCAAGCCGATTGAAAACCACTTTTAAGAAGTCACAGGTGATGTTGCTAAATATTTTAAGAAACTTCTGTTTTTACGTCTCCAAGTGACGTCTTCTCTTCGGTTTTGACATCTCTTCGCTGTGACCTCAAACTTGGCAAAGTAACTTTTTCCAGTCTTTTCCGTCATTATTTTTCATGGCGTGAAAACCGAACTATAGTTGGTAATGTTACGAGTAAAAACAAGTTAACTTTGATTACCCTTTCATGACTGACGGGACTTCTCGGTGCCAAATCACTAGGTACGAATAGCATTGGCGACGGTAAATGGATCCGTGACGAAAGGATTAACCTACACTCACGAAGGAAAACCATCCTAATCCCATAGAAGCAATATCTCCTACAAAGCTTATTTAAAACGATTTCTGTTCCTGCTTAAGAGTTCTCAACTGACGAGAACAAAACGAAAAGCTGATGTTTAAAGACGGCTACAAACTTCTCCAGCAAATTGAAATTAAAACTGAAAAAGTGCTAAAGCTCCCACGAGCGAGTCTTGAATTTCTTAGACTTTTCCTCTATTGCTGCACACAGAACTCTCCGCTCTGTTGGAATACGAAGCGAGTTTTTGAGTCAAGACGAAGAAGATCGCACTGCGACGAGCTGGATGAACAAAAATATTCTTTAAAACGTCGTGTTTACCTAACCATTCTTGACAATAATAAAGTGACATCTTTTACCCAGCGCTCGTTTTAGAGCAAACACGCTTGGGCCATGAGCAGGCTAGGAATCGGTATTATTTATTGTGCATACCGATGGTTCGATTTCTTCTATTAATTGTCAACTGTCGAAATTCCACCAAAAACAGGAAACGGAAATAATTTAGAGAATAATTTTTATCAAATATAGGAACATACAGCCTGATATTATAATAATAGAACAATGTTTAAAAATCAGAAATTTGGAGCTGAATGAGTAGCATATTCTCTTATGGGCTATTTTGTTTCGTAATGTAAAGTTGAAAAATCAAGTCTCATGTTGCGCATAGCGAAATGCTAACATATGCTCATGGTTAAGCATCACATGGAACAAAAACGATTTGCGTGTTTTCATCTAAAGAGTAATAACGCTCATAGCAAAGGTTATATTTCAAGCCGAAGTTCGCTCTTCGTTACTTATTTGACATAAATCTTTTAATAGGTCGCGAATGTCTGGAAACGTATTAGCATAATCCGAAAATTTAAAATCCCGTGAAGGCGAATTTGAATTGAAAAATGTTGGGCTATTCCTAACCAATCGACGAAACGAGCCCAATTAAAAATATTGATCTAATTACTTGGTTGATTGGAAGTATTCACGTTGTTCAGAAACTTTGTTGCGGTAATCACCAGGCAATTTTAATTACTCTGATTGGAAGAGGAATTCCTTATGGAAGTCTTAAAGAAACAGACGAGCCTATGAAAGTTCTAAAGAAGTTATAGCTCGCTCAGCTGTATCATAACGCGGGCTTCTCGCTGCGTCTCGGCCATAACTCTGTGTACTGACATGATCGCATATTTTACCAGCCGCTAAAAAATGGGCAACGTTCTTCAAAAACCTCCATTGGAAGACAAACTTCTCAAAAATTCTTGACCAGTTGCTGGTAATGATATATTTTTTATTAGTCTTAAATGTAATTCAATTCTCCGAACTGTTAAAATTTAACCCACTGCGTTCCATGAAACTTGCAACCAAATTCCTTGTAAATTTATTGTCGTTATAAAAGAACGGTCGTTTCTTCCAGGGACAATGCTTCAATTTTAAACACATTACTTAAACTCACAACTTTCAAAGTTCCACAGCTCATCACCAATTGAGTACCAACATGAAACATACCCGGCTTTAATTTGCTAGTAATTTTATTGCGTTTCATGTTTCAACTAATGCAGACAACTAACGTTCGTTATTATAGATCAAATCTACCAGAATTGAAATTAGCTACAAGCTTCACGCCGTGAGCTTCATGACGGCATACACAATCTTTACAGCACATGTATGAAAGCACATACATGCATGTTACAGCATATGTATGATCGTTCGTTCATGTTAGCTTTACCGTATGACTTTCTTCAATTAATTACTTTATTAAAATACGATTAAACACCAATAACACTAACGAAATTTATATCGATGAAATCAAAAGAGACCAGATTAGTCTAATCCAACCGTGCGCCTTCAACCGTGTGCCTTCCATTCCAGAAATTTTATTTACTGCAACAGATTCTAGATTTGAGATTCCAGGCATAAGGCCTTCCAGAAAGAAATTAAATGATCAATATAATACTTCGCAATACATTCTAACATAATACACTGGGGAAAATCTCAGAACTCACTATATATATAACATCCCACCACAGCAAGGCCGCGGTCACATCAAAGGGAATCGCTAAACGAAAATGACCAAAAATCAAACATTCTAAAATTCTACGCATGCAGTGGTGCCCACGAATTAGCTTACCTAAAATCTGAACGGGACATTAAACAAAAAAAAAAAACATTAGGAAAAAACGCTTTAGTTATTATCAACATATAGTGCTGATGATTTCATATTCACAAACCCCGGATATTGACATTTGTGAGACTTTTTATTTGAATAAATTGTTCGGTTTCGAGAACCTGAACCGTCATATTCGTACTATAACCTGCCTTCAAATTTAATTTATCCCCAAGGCATGAACTATGTATGTTTAGACGCAATACAGCGCTGTCGAAAAATTTTACAATATATGAATTCCTAAATAAGAATATTTAACTAAAATTAATCCATATTATTACCATTCTAATAAATTCTTCGGTTTATGTAGCAGAAATAAATTATGACATCACAAGGAAAGTTAACTTCATTCTCTAATTGTAATTTATTCATTTTGACATATGACCAGAAAAACCCCACCATGTCATTCATTTGGAAACATTGGGATTTCAGTTGAAAATACATCAATAATTGAACATTCAAATAACATACATAGTCCTTGTTTTTAGAGGGCTGAGGCTGTCTGTCCGATGCATGCATCCAAAGTATCTCCATGACGTCATGTCGTCAAGAAATTATGGATGTTCTCTAACTACGCAAAATCGAAGTCTCCACAGTCAGGGTCTATTCGTTCTTTGAATCACGCCTGAAAAATATAAGAAGTCTATTGATGAAATAATTCGATCCTATGCGGTTTTTGTGCACAAAACGCACAGAAATTGAGCACTGATATTTGGAAGTACGTGCATTACTTTCGGCTAAGCGTTTCTCGGTGAAGAGCCTTCCTGGCAAAAATCTTCGGCCGGTAATAGTGACTTGGGTAAGTGCCATTCAAGCGCATCTGCCGCTGGCGCTATGAGACGCATAAAAAAGTCGCTCCATTGTGAACAGCTCCTACGCTTGGCCTTACCAGGCAACTCATAAGATGAGCCATAGCAGCCAGCAGTAAAATGCCTCCCACTCAAAGCGTCTAAACATTAAAACGAGGATGCAGATATGCCTTCAGTGCCTACGCAATTATTATGAACGTATTACCACTGGCAGCAGAGCAGTTCATTTTTACGTTGATACCTTTATTGTTTCTATTCAAAAGACGAGACTAAATAGAAGATTGGGCAATAGTTATTGTACTATTTTTGTGAGATGTCATTCAAATCTCAAGCACGTAGCTGAAAAAGAATCAGTCAAAGCTTAGCCATGACCATGGCTTGAAAATCTTCTCAAAATATTTTGAATTTATCTTTTGATGGATTTGATCTCCGCTGGACTCATAAATACTCCAATTACTTGAGAATTAACGGCTCGTGAATTAATATTGCAGAAATTGAATTTATTACTATCCAGTCTGAATTCTGTACTTGATCAAAATTCAAGCGACTGAATAATTTTTTTCCGTAAACATATTAGCATATTTAGCTCGCAGTTATAACATGGCCTGATAATTAAACAACCCTATCCTCCAAAATATAACTGCAAAGGAAAAGAGTGTCTTGAATATTTTTTATTTTAACTTTTATGATTATTTTAAAGAATCCAGCAATATTCTCCGCTCAAGTAAATTTTCTAAATTTTTATCCAAAAACTTTCAGGTTTCGAAAAATAGCTATTCTTTGGACGTTCACTAGTATTAGGAGCTAACAAAGACTGAGGGCCCTTGAACAACTTACGTTCTTGGAAGTTTGCTCAATTAAAGTTCAGCTGCAGATATCGCTTAGAAAATTGCAAAAAGGGAAAAACGTATCGATATGATACAAAATTTTAAGCTAGAATTAAAATATTACGGAATGAAAATATTGTTAGTCTATTTACAAAATTAAGTTAGAATATTTTTAGGTAATAATATTGGTACAGGATATTAGAAATTTTTCGAGCACTTCAAATTCAGAATTCGCTTCAAAATTGGAACGACAAACTTTCAAGCACCAACGACAAATTTTTACCAATGTATAAAGTATATTGCATCGTTACATTTGTCTTTTCGTACGAAACATGGCACTGGGAAATTCACTTGCCGAACAATAATTGGTGCATTTTCCACGAACTAATGAAATGCTTGCCATCCCTGATTGATATTAATTTTAAAGTTTGCTGAGACACAAATGGGTGTAAGTCGCATTTTTAAAAGTCTAGAGCAGTAATTCAATGCTATGACAAATACATCAATTTCAGGTCTCATCTCTACTTACAGACTCAGAAGGTGTGATACGAATGATGGTCATTTAGATGGTTCATTTATTTTTTCAATAACTATGAGGCGCGCTTGACTGTGAAGCAACGTCTTACTTTGTGTTCATGTTGTCGAATAATTTTATGGAAGGGAGTGTCCAATCAATATGAACACATAACATCAACATCAATAATAATACGGATGATAATATTTCTTAATTAATTTGAATCAATCAAATTCAATAATTATTGCTGCAATAGAGTTAATTATTTCTCTGGGCAAATATCAAATTTTGGCTTCCTGACGGGGCCAGAGTCGCTTATATGAGTTTGCATTTAAATTTGCTGCGCTTATCTCGTGCAACGTATTTCTTTTTCTAGCCCATCACTCAACGAGAGAAAAATTGCACTGAAAAAAGGTGAAGGCTGCAACTTCAACTCTGCTCCCATGAAATTGGAAGCTCTCTCTCGTTCTCGAGCAGGAAGTGTATCTTATTCTGAATATGGCCCAGGATTTGCATAAAGAAAAGTGTGCGGCTCCTTCGTTATTCAGTGCGGGCGGCTGAGCTTTAAAATTCTGCGTACTGGACTGAAATTCACGCAAGAGGCCGCTGCGCTGACGAAGGAATTATTCCAAAGGCCTTTCATGTACACAATAATGTGGGGAAAATGAACGTAATTGTGGCTCATGAGAGCTCCT